ACTGCCCAGGCCTGGGACCCCTGGGAGCCGCACTGCCGGCTGCCTGCCCCGCCCCTCCGCCTCTCTGGGGAGGTCCCGGCCTTTGCCAGCCCCCAAGGGGCCCGGGTCGCGTTCTGGGGAAAGGTGACTCATGACAGGGCCCTGAGCTGTCCCCTCCCAACTCTGAAAAGCAGCAGGGCAGGGGCTGGGTCCCCAGGGTGCTGGCCACTCTGGCCACTGGCTCAGAGGAAATGCGCCGCCCCGCACCTGTCAGCGAGCAGAGCCCAGGGCCCGACCTGTTCTTCCTGCGGCCCTTCTGTGACCACAGCCCCAGGGTATCCCGGAGGAGGAACCCAGGAAGGGGGGTTGTGCTGGGCCCCTGGAGGCCCCTGCAGGCCTCAGCTCTCCACTGGCCTTCAGGGGGTTGAGCTGGATGCCTTCTGCCAGTTCTCCGGATTCTGACATTGAGGGATTCAAGGCCAGCACCCCCAGTCCATCTCCACCGCTGAGGGAAAATAAAAGGGAAAAAATAACACCCACCCCATCTAATCCTTTCCCAGCTTATACCACGCAGCTCAGCTCTCTCCGGCTCCTCTGGGGGATGGTGGAAATGTGAATTTAAATAGAGTTATGTTGAAAGAACATTACCCAGCACGGCCCAGCGGGGAGGGCGCTGCCGAGGCAGAGGCAGGGCCCACAGTCGGCCGGCAGGAGAGCGAGCGGGCCAGCACCCCTGGACAATTACAATCAGGACAGCTTGATTAGCCTTCCTCCTGTCCGCGCCCTTCCCTGAATCTCTTTAATAGCTAGCTGCCTCCCCGGGGCGGCGGGCCGGACGCTGGGCCCAGCGCGTGTGGATAATCTCCCGGCGGCACCGAGACGCCATCTGCAGCTAACAGGAGTCTCCAGACCGGCTCTCCAGGCAGCTCGCTCCCACCTTCCCCAGCGGGGGCAGCCACCAGTCCGGGACAGGAATGGCATGGCTGTCTGCTGAGCCGAGGCCTCAGACACAGGCTCTGGTGCCGTGAGCCAGGGGACCGGGACATCCCTGGCTCCCTGGTGGCCCCCACACGCCTCACCCTTTCCTCTGCCTGGCACCTTGTGGGCAGAAGGGCTGCCATCCTGGATGCTGGGCACTGCATGGGTACTCTGGGCAGGCCTGTGTGCAGTGCACCTTGCCAGGGTCAACTCGCCAGAGGAGCAGGCTGGCAGGGTGTGCCATCTGAGAGATGCGCTCCCTGAGGGCGCCTGGCATCCCGGGGGTCCTGGCACTCCCACTGGGGAGAGCCAGGAGCTGGGCGGTGACAGCGGTGGTGCTGAGGGCAAAGGCGGGACACGGGGCACGGTGGGAGGCAGCTCTGCAGGGGTCTGGCAGGAATGAGGGCTGGGGCCTGTGAGCTTGAGCTTCACTGGCAGGGGCTCTGTCCTGTGGAGCGTGAGGCTCCCTGGCTGCTGGGAAGAGGGGTGTCGAGAGGGAAGTGGGTGTGGTAGACAACGCCCAAGGCGCCAGTCGGGCAAACTGGGTGCTGGGTGTCCGGATGAATGGGACAGGGGTGCTCCCGCCCGCCCGCCCAGCTCGCCTTCCTGCGGGAGCCCCAGAGACAGCCGCTGTGGTTGTAAAAGCTGCCCCTCCCTTCCCTCAGTGTGGGCGGTAGGGGCTCCTGCGAGTGGTTGGAAGGAGGCAGAGCGGGCGAGAACAACTGTGGTTTCCTTCTCGTGCTTGTGCTGGCAGCGGCCATGTCGTGAGGGTGCTCAAGCTCTCCCGCGGACAGGCGGGCAAGGGACCAGGCCGCCGGGCACCGCCACGCCGCGCTGTCTCCAGGCCATCGGGTGCTGCTCCCCCACTGAAGCCCTCCTAGGGACCCAAACAGGAACCGCCCAGCCCGGCTGTCCCTGGGTGCCTGAGCCCCATAAACCGAGTGAAACAGTAAATGTTTGTCTCAAGCCGCTGCATTTGAGATGGTTTGTCATCTGGCAGTCGATAACTGGCTGGGGAGGCACTTTCTGTCCTCCACGAGTGCCCGAGGGCGCTGTGTGGACGGAACCAGGCTTCCCTGCAGCTGTGCTGTGCGTCTCAGCAGGAGCAGCGATTGCTGGGATCCATTGGGCTCTGGGCTCTGGGTCGGTGTCCTCCCCGCTCCTGCCCCCTGACAGCGGAAGCTGCCTTCTCCGTTTGGGCTGCTGCCCCTCGGATGGCAGCGCTGGGGATCGCTGCACAGGCTAGGAGACTGCACTTTCATTCATCAAGGCCCCCGCTGCCCTGCTGCCTCGGTCCAGCCCCAGGGTCCCTCTGCTGGGACCCAGATCAGGGTCGGCATCCGGATGGAGGTCACGGCGGCCCTGGGTGCAGAGAAGGCGGGGTGGCCAGGGCCGAGGCGGGCAAGGCCGGCGCCTTCCCATCCACACCGCTGGAGTCTGCGGGGAGGCGGCGGAGAGTCCGCAGCAAGGCCAGCGCGGGGCGGGGGGCGGGGAGCTGTACGACGCCCTGCCCTTGACCCCGTAATCTCTTCCCACAACCCACCCGAGGAGGCAGTTAGCAAGCCGGTGCTGCTCGGCAGCAACTGGAAAATGGAAAGAACCGTCCAGAAATCCGGGGAGCTCACCCGCGTGTGTCCGGAGTCAGAGCACGGGCAGGAACGGCCAGCTTTCCGGAGTGAGCGCCCCGTCTGCCGGTGGAGGCGGTGCAGGGACTCGGCTACGGGTTCTTCTGAGGACTCGAAGGATCAGAACCCAGAGCCCGCTCAGCGCAGCTCCAGGCACTGTGCTGGGTGGCACAGGAGGGCATCTCGGTGGAGGGGACAAAGGCCCAGTCCTTTCCATCACAGCGGCACCTCCTTCGGGTGACGCCCGGCATGCGGAGCTCGGGCGGGCAGGAGAACGGAGGACGGCAGAGTCCTGCACATGCAGCTCCCGGGGGCCCTTTTCTCTGCCCCAAGCAGGGCTGGGCACGCAGGGGGTGGGAGCGGGGGCAGGAGGAGAAGCTGGGGTGCGTGGTGGGGACGGGGGCCGCCCGCACCGGACCGTGACGTGGGTCCGTCTCCAGCGGGGAGCTTCCTAAGGAGGTGCTGCCTCCGGCAACCGCTCAGACAACAGAGCAGGAGCGGACCCCAGAGCGCAGCCCGCCCGGGTCCCTGCTGGGTGCGGTGAAAAGAGGCGACTTCTGTGGCCGGGAGCAAAATTACAGATGCACAGGGCAGCAGAGGCCATGAGCTGCCCAGAGCCGGGGAGCACTCAGGGAGGCATCTGCTCTAGGATCTCAGCGATCAGCCCCTTAGTGAGAGTCCTTAAAGTTTGCCGAATGCTTCCTGAGTGCCGGACCCAGGCCAGGCCCCAGTACCCAAGCTCTCATCCTCCTCCCCACCGCGTAGGAGGAGAGCTGCTCGCCTCTTCTGTGTGTCAGTCAGCAACGGCTGTGATACACCACATAACAAGCATCCCCAACACCATTTCTCTTTCTGGCTCACGGCCCTGCAGGATTCAGGCCTGTGCCATCTGCCTCTCAACCTTCTGGGACAGGTGGCTTCCCAGGCCACGGTGCTCTGGTGGCCTTGACAGCAGTGCAGGTGGCTTCGACGTCTGCTGTTCAGAGCACAGCACGGAGAACCTTTGTCCATCAGCAAAAGCTATCAGCTTGGCCATGGGGCGGGAGGCACAGCAGAGTCACCAGGTGAAGGGCGCGTCGAGGACTCTAATGACAGGAGTGTGGGGAGCCCAGCAGGGCCTGTGGCCCCCTCGGGTCTCCTGGCTCAGTCTGCCTGCCCCAGAGCCAGCCTCAGCGCCCACCTGTGACCTTGGGGGAGCTCGAAGGACTCCTCAGACCGGTCACAGCCACCCAGGTCCACACACAGCAGACGTCAGGTCCCCACTGCACCCCCTTGACTTCACCCCCAGCCACCTGCCTCCTAAACATGCCAGCATCTGCCCGTTTCTCCCTGTGGCCCCAGGGAGCACCAGTCCGAGCTGTTCCCATCTCTTACCAGGACAGCAGCCACAGTCTCTCATCATCCGGTTCCTGCCTTCTAGGATCCCTTGGAACCCACCCTCCCCTTGACAGCAAAACGGACCTGCAAAATCGTCCATCAGAGCACTCCACGCCCTGCTGTGGTTCGCAAATGCATGCCCTGCTTCCTGTCATCCATCTCCCCTTCCTTCTATGACCTCTTCTTTTCCCCAACCTGTTCCTAGTGCTCCACTCACAAGGCCTCCTGCAAGGTTACACCTGGCCTTGTCCCACCCCAGGACCTTTGCACCTGCTCTTTTCTCTGCCTGCCATGGTAGGTGCCCTCTTGCTCTCCAAAGAACCCTACATCCTCTTCCCCAACCTCTCTGCCCATTGGCACCCTCTTTTATTTCCTTAGAGCCCATACCACCATTTGCAATCAGCTCTCTTGTTCACTAGAATTAAATTCCAAATAGTAGGTCTCAAAGCATATTTGTTAGAGGAATTTCCCGGTGGATAGGAAATGGGAGGTGTTGCAAGAGGCAAGAGGGTCACAGCTCACCCTGGGCGCTCCAAGGGTGGGGGGCTTTTGTGGAGGTCTTCAGAAGGGACCCTGAGAGCTGCAGCTCTGGAGCACAGGGCCTTCTGTGGGGAGCCACCGAAATCTTTGCAGAGTGAGGCCATGCACCAGTGAACAGCAGCCTAGCAGAAGGTCCACCCACTGGGAGAGGGAGTGGCCAGGGTTTCCCTGTCCCTCAGAAGACGCAGGGCTGCTGGCAGGGTCAGTCTGGGAGGGGTGGCTCTTTGGTCTTGCTCTGGGGGGACATCAGTGTGCCATCCAGCCCCAGCCACACTGCTGCGGTCTGACCTAGACGCGGACATCTTTAGAGGCGGAGTGACACCCTGCTTCCCTCAGCTTGAAGATGGAGGCTGTCTGGTTTTCAAAATCACAGGTGACAGCAAGTCCTGGGTGGCTCACACAGTAAGAACAAGTTAGTGGGTGTGATCCTCCTGCCTCAGCCTCCCAGAACGCCAGCACGACAGGTGTGAGCCACCACCTGTGGTCTAGGAATTTATTTTTAATAGTGTGATAGACTAGTCATACAAAAACTTAGATGCAAAAATCTATAAAAAGTACCCATAGCAAAAACATACATAAAAACCTATAAAACTTGGATATAAAATGATAAACATCCTTCCAATGCATAGCTGAACTCACAAAAAGAAGGAAAAACAGCAGGAGCCAGAAAACGAAGAGGAGCCGGAATCCAGCGGGAGGTGGGGCTGAAGCTGCAGGGAGGAAAGGAAGGTGACCAGGGAGGAAAACTCCCCTCTAAATCACACTTGGGACCTGGGCTCGCCGTGTGTGCAAGACGGGGACTCGGTGCTGTGGGCCGAGTTTGGGTGTCTGTCTCCAGGCGCCCTGAGGGACACACGCAGGAATAAGCAGCTCCGGGCCCAGAACTCACCAGATTCCCACAGAATTCCGCAGATTCTCACAGGAGCTCTGACAAGAAGGGACTCACAGTGGAAAACTACAAAACACCCAAACAGACTACCGGAAGCGGGCACCGCAGAAACGACGAGGCAGAAAGGAGCTGAGTTCTGCAGGGCTTCCGAACCCAGATCCCAGGGCCGAGGAGGGGGCACTGGGCCGGGTGCGGCTGGGACGTGGCACCGGCTGCACCCCGACATCAAAGCGAGAATTTCATTTTCTGCGTTCCGTTCAACAGCAAATGCCTGGAACCCAGCGTTAGCTCTCTGGGGAGAGGTCCCAACGGCAGCTGTGGGCTTTGGGTGCGGATTCTGGACTCCGACTGTGGTTTTCATTCGGGCTGTGATGCACCCTTGGGAGGCTCCTGGCCACCGTGGACTCCCACTGTTTCTTTACCTGTGACGTGGAGATAAAGAATGGACCTCTGAGGCCGTTGGAGGGATGCCTGCGGGTGGCTGGCACAGAAGGAACGGAGTCCCGAGGCCGGGCAAAGCAAGTGAAAGAGAGTCCAGCTTTCGCTTGGTCGCGCCTTTCCCACACCTGCACCTCTCTGAATCCTGCTGCTCCCAGAGCTGGGTGGCAACGGACTTGATCTGCTGCAGCCAGGCCTAGGGGAGGACCAGGTGTGTCCAGGCCATGACCGGGGTGTGGTCCCCACGTCCCCTCCCTCCAGGCCCCACCTGCTGGTGGCCGTGTCTCCCTCCCCTAGACTCTGCCCTCCAAAGCCATGTATGGCTGTCACTGTGTCCTCCCTGTGCCTGCGCGGTTCACATTCAAACCATCCATGTGCTGCTGAAGGAAACCCAGTTTCTTCCTAAGAACTCTGCTTCCTGCTTTCAAAATAACACTCAGCAGGCGCAGTCGGGAGGCTGAGGCAGGAGGATCACAAGTTCAAGGCCAGGCAACCCGGCAAGATCTAGTCTCAAAGTAAACAACAACAATAATAAAAAGGGCTGGGGGTGCAGCTCAGTGCAAAGGCCCTGGGCTTGATCCCCAGCACCCCACATCCTGACCTTGCTTCGTATCTGTTAAGCACTGATTCTGTTCGAGAGGAGCCATGGGAAGGTTGGGACACAAAAGTAGCAGGGGCCTCTTGGCCACCCTTGTCCCACCTCTGGGTGACAGCATCAGCCCGGCCTTGGCGTGTGCTTCTCTGGTGACGTGTGACAGAGTGGTCACGAGACGTCACCCACGGCAGCGGGGGGACCTGGGACACAGCCACCGCCTGGCCACGGTGCCTGAGATGCCGAGACTCGCACCCGGCACGCGCCCGCCAATGCTGCCTCTGCCGGCAGTCTCTGGTCTGTCATCTCACTCAGTGTTGACAAAGCCACATAGGAAACAGAGGGAAAGCAACGCTCTGTCACCCACGCCCCCGGCTGCCCGCCTCTGCGTCACGGTGGTGTCAAGGTATGTCGGGTTTTAAATGAAATGTCAGCCACGGTACGTCTCTGGCGCCAGCCACAGAAAGTGAGGCGCTGGCTGGAACCCATCCAGCCGCTCGCCGTGCCTAACCATGAGGGTGACAGTGACAAGACCTCTGAATCACGGCACCGGGCTCACCCTGCCACACAGCTCCAGGATAAATTCACTTTTAATGGCGAATGGGACTGTCGGAGTTGGGTCGGAACAGCTTTGCGGGCAGAGCTGCGAGCCCTCGGCGGTGCAGGGTAGAGGCCAGGGCACCAGGGCCAGTGGTCCCGACCCCAAGGCCGCCAGCCTGGGCCCGAGGGACAGGCACATCTGACATCCGGCCTTGTCCCCGAGCCCGCTGTCGGGGCAGCTTGGGCACAGCTCTGCCGAGAGCCCCTGGGGTGGCTGAGACGGAGACAGAGAGCTGGCTCCCGCCCAGCTCTGAGCAGAGTTCGAGTTCTGATCTTGCCAGTTGCTGTGTGGTCTTGGTCAGGTGCTTAACCTCTCTGCACAGCCGTTGCCTCCCTCGGCTTTTAACATAAAGACATCGAATCAGGTGTGGTGGTGCTCAGCTGTGAGCCTGCACTCTGACGGGTGTAGGCAAGTTTGCCCTCAGACTGGGCAACGTGAGCCTGTCTCAACATGGAATGAAAATCAAACAGGGCTGCGGACGAAGCTCAGGGCGAAGGCCTTGGGTCCCACCCCCAGCATTTCGTATAAATAAATAGGCGTATTAATTACACCTGCGGGTCTTTGGAGACCATAGCAGGAAATGAAGTGTGCTGTTAATGAGCAGAGCCCACAGGGAATGGTTATTAAAGGCCACTGACTATTAATGATGTCTTTTCACTAAGAGGACCATGGCTCAAGTGACAGGACGGCCTTCGGACTCAGTTTCCTCACCTGTAAAACGGGGGTCACAACAGCTCCCGCCTGCAGGGTGTCCTGGGGGATCTGAGGCGCACAGCACCTGGCTGATGCCCACACCGGCAGGGAGTCCAGGGCTGACCCCTGTAGGCTGTCACCGTGCAACTCTCCCCCATCTCGCGGGTGCTCCCTCGCCAACCCTCCAGCGTGGGACCCCGCTGTCCACCCTGCACGCACTCCCTGCCCAGCAGGGCCCAGGAGCGGCGCCCCCACGGGACAGTGCCAGCACCTGGCAAGGGCAGCTGCCGCCCGTGATTGATGTGTCCTGGCTGGGGAGGAGGAGCAGGACACCGCTGCCCTTCTCCCTGGAATTTCAACCAACAATCTCAGACAGGAGGGCGTTGCCTCTCGGCGTGGCCACCACGACCAGGTGGCTGTGGGAAGGAAAAGCAGGGACAGGCAGATGGGGGCCAGCGGGGGATGGTGGGGGCCAGGCTGCCTGGGGGCCAGTCCCGTGTGGCCTCGGCCTGAGAGACTGTCCCTGTCCCCGGCCCCCGGCATCACTCCTGCAGACCACTGAGCTCCTGGGAGGTGGCCGTCCCTTGTCCCAGGACAATGTCCCCAGTGTGCCCAGCACAGAGGAGAAGCTATCGGGCTCACACCTGTCTCCTGGGGTCCTGAGCAGAGGCATCTTCACCACTGTGGGGGTGCAGACTCTTTTGCCCCTGCAGGAGAGAAAGCCAGGGCCTAAGGCTGAGCAGGTGGAGGACTGGGCAGCAAGCACTGCCAGGAGGAGCCACTAGGTGGCCCCCGCTCACCTGCCCAGCACCCTGCTGCAGGCCTGGGAGCAGAGGGACAGGGGCTCCAGTGTCCACCGGGCTGAGTGACCACTGCACCGTGGAAAAGCCCTCTTCCCAGCACTACACAGCCCTCCTCCTCCAGACACCTCCTTCCCTGGAGGCTGGGCCACACCTGGGGCCTCCTCTGTGAGTCTGAGCACCAGTGAGCTGCAGGGTGTCGGTTTCATGTCTCCCCAGGGCGGTCTTCTGTGGGTGCCACCTTGTCGGGAGGACACATCCTTCCCACCATGGCGGGGTCCTGGACTGGAGTCCCTGCCCCACTGTCAGGCAGTGCTGAGAGGACTGCAAACCGCAGGGCAGTCCAGCTGCTCAGAGAAGAAACTGAGGCTGGGGAGACCAGGCAGGGAGCGCAAGTTCACAGCAGGAAGCCGAGCCCTCCTGGCAGTCTCAGAAGCGGCCGAAGAGCTGTGCTGCACTCCGGGAAGAAGGGCAGACTGAGGCCCAAAGGTGGACAGCTGGCCGGTGCGCCCACCATGGCCCCCTGGTAGGCCGGGGCCCTCCAGCGCTCACACTGGCCCCCTCATGGGTAGGATAGGCCAGGCGCCGCCAGAAACAGCGAGGCTGTGGACGGTGGCTGGGCCCCGGGAGCCGGCTTGGGCAGGGTGACCTCCTCTGACAGTGACAAGAGCCCCGAACCCCAAATCCACCGCAGCCGCTGCCCGCGCC